CTAATATTCATTATGTACTAAGAAATTATCATTAAAACGATATTATGTATATGCTTTTGTTCCAATGAGGTATTACACAATGTTAAAAGTAAAAAAATGAAAACAAGACTTACCTGTGCAGATACTGCAGATTAGACACCTTCGCCGACTCCCCATCAAGAGAGTAATCTCTCTGTTTCTGTAGAAAGTGAAAAAGGTAAAGATAAATCAGCTGGCCCGATCCCTGGCACTCCCACCTCACTCAATGGTGTGGTCCCTGAAATGCCCTGGACACAGGCCAACTCAAGTAAGCCCGGGGTCCTCAAATATTAAACATCTACTTGACGTGCCACAGAACGACAGGGCCACCCCATTGCCACTGGCACCTAGAAACTGGCCTTGAGTGAGAGGGTTTGCAGCAATGGCCACTTGAGGCTTCCTGGATCCTGCTGCCAGTGTCCAGCCCCACAACATTAAGACCGGAAACTCCACAGTCCAATGCTCCATTTTAAGGTCTGTGTCTTAGATCTTAATTTTACCCTTGTGCTGTCAGCTCTTGCCTTTTGTGCTCAGCTAAACCATGCCCCACCTCCCCCACTAAGACGCACACATCCTAATCTCTGGAACCTGTGACTGTTACCTCACATGGTAAAAGAGACTTTGCAAATGGGATTACTTAAGGATCTTGAGATGGGGAGATTATCCTGGATTATCCAAGGGGCCCAATGTAATCATAAGGGTTCCTATGAGTGAAAGAGGGAGGCAGGGCGGGGGAGGTCAGAGTTAGAAAGAAGATGTGAAGACACAGGCAGAGGTCAGAGAGGAAAGAAGACACTACACTGCTGGCTCACAAGCTCCAGAAAAGGGGCCACAAGCCAAGAAATGCAGGCAGCCTCGAAGCTGGAAAAGGCTCTCTCTCAAATCCTGGGAACGAGTTCTCCCCAAGATCTTCCAAAAGGAGCGCAGCCCTGCAGACCCATTTTTGACTCTGGTCTCCAGAGCTGTGACATAGTAAGTTTGTGTTTCATGCCACCGAGTTTGTGGGGATATGAATTTGAGAGCCCAGGCCTAACAGGTAATGTATGAAACGATTAGGAGGAACAGGGTAAAGGGAAAAGAATTCTCAACCTGACTGAGCCCAGAGACTTTGCTGAGATGGGCAGCTGACCCCACACCTCAGAAAAAAGCCTCTAAGACCACA